GCTAAGATTGCCTTGAGTGTGGTTTTTGTGCAGTACAACGTCTGCAGCCAAACATTCTTATGCAAGTTGTTTAATCAGGTGTGAGGTGAACATAACTTTAATCTAATGTCAGTCTATCCATCAGGTTTGCTCTCAAAGTACACAGAGGCTGACAGTCCTGCTCTTACATAAGGAACCAATGACCGTTATTGCATAATATTAACAGTGATGTTACACTGAATTTTAAGATGCCAAAGAAAATAAAATTGTGTGCAGTGTGGTGGGGGTTCCAATCACAGAGTGATAAGAATAAAAGCTATAAACACCAAGGCGGCTTATTGACATTTGATTCCTTTTTATTTTAACATTGTGGCATAAATTTGCAGTGGCAGTGGTACAGACCGGCTCAGGAACCATTGTATCAGATTTATTTTCAAGTAATAACTAATTTTGATTCATAGCTACATTTTGTGAATGCAAAAAAAAACCCACTATAAAAATAAATTTACATTTTTGTAAATAACAAAAAAGCAAATATATAGTGCCCTTTGGCTTAACCAAATAAGAAAAACAAAAACCAAACACACAAAACAGACTACTGGGTGTCAACCAAAGTTATCCGCTTTTTTTTTCTTGACATAAATAGAAAATATAAGTTAGTATAACTCTTAAGTTGTTTTTTTGTTTTGTTTTTTTACAAATATACATTTTTTTTGTTTGTTTTGCACTGAGAGATCAGCAGAGATTAAACATTTATATAAATGACTTTAAAGCTTTTACACTTCTGGCCAGTGTACTCACATTAGGCACAATACAATTTTAATATATATAAAACGTAATACATTGCACAGTTGTAAATTAACACTGCTCCGTCAGGTGGCTTGCAGTCGGGCCACTTTTGCTACATGGAGGTACAAGCAGTTCCTTCTGGGGCACGAGTAGAAGAGGAGGAACGAAAAAACAAAACGGGGAAGAAGAAAAAAACACACACACACAACCAGGGGATTCTTCCTCCCTACTCTGGGTCTCTCTTGCCAGTCCCTTTTAACGTGTGGAGGAGGAAGGGCCTCTCAAGCTCTTGTGTTTCCAAGGAAACAATCACTTCGGTGTTGTAGTGCAAAATCTGCAAGAGAAGAGCAAGAGCATACATAGCACAAACTTGCACAGAGGACTCCCGGGCGACGTCGCAACTGGACGGAGTTGTTGGCCGATACAAAGAGACTCCCCCGCTCGCCCCCTCCTCCTCGCTCTCCCCTCCCCCGAGGAGCAACTGATGAGTCAGCAAAAGCGGTGGTGGAGGGGGAGGAATGGCTTTAAAAAAGAGTGAAAAAAGCAAGCAAGCCCCATGCAATATCTGACCATCAGGAAGTTACTCCAGATCGGGGGCCCGGGGGAGAGGAATGGGGAACACACCCAACTGACCAGTCAGGAGAGGCTCCTTTTGCAAGCCTCCGCTACCTTCCCATTCCCTTGCAATCCCCGCCAAGTTTTGGCAGCGGCCCCAACTGTTCTGCAAACGACCAGTCACGCACGAGAGGTCGCCCCTCTCCGAGAGGCAGGGCGGAGCAGAAGGGGCGAGCTGCTTCCCAAGGCCGATCGAAATCCCCCCTCCCTCCCAAAAAAAAAACCACTTGCACCCGTTTCTAAGTATTAAAAAATAGCCGATCTTGACGTGCACCCATCGCTCGCTCACCTCGTTCATCGGAGCCTTTTCCGGGGGGTCTGCTCGGCGGGGACAGCAGAGACCGAAGCTGGCAAGGCGCTGGGATGATCCCCGGACACTTTCGAGTCTACGACTCTTTTCCGCTTGGCGAAGAAATCTGCGGATCAGACCCAGGAGAAAGAGGGAGGGGAGGGATTAGCAGGGATTCTGTGCGTGTGCGTTATTTTTTTTTGGGGTCACCCGAGCCAAGAGCTTCGAGCTGGAAAGGGACACACCCCACCCTCGGTCAGGAACGGGAGAAAAACAATCGCGTTGCACACCAGGGACCCGCCCTGCTTGGCTCGCCCGGGCGCCGCCACGGAGCGCCTGGCTCTGGGCTCCCCCTGTCGGCGAGCGGCGGGCGCCGCAGCTGCTGGGGTTTGTTTACGTCGCAAAGGGGAGGCAGCCGCCGCCGCCGCCGCGATGTGCTGCGTAAGCATTTTCCTTCCCCGCTCCACCAACCCCCGGGTACCTGCGCGGAATTTTAAGCAGAGGCAGCGCCTCCGGGCAACGTTTTAAGACGCCGCGCAGATGAGGAAGGGGTGGGGCGCCCCCATAACTCGGGCTGGGAGGGGCAAAGTGGGAGCAACCCCCCCCAAAAAAACAGGCACAAGTGCAACCCAATCCGACGGCGGCGCTGCTTACCTGTGATGTGCGCTACACTGGCCGACGACGCCCTTTTCAGCGCCGCCGCGGCGCACGGGACAGGCTTGAGTATAATCCCTGAGTAGCTGTGGAGCTGAGCGGCCCGGTTCTCCTGGTTGAGGCGCTCCTCGCCCGCCGACCTAGTGCTTTCCAAGGGGGCCGTCTTGCCCGGAGAGCTGAGCGAGGAGGGGGCCGAGGGCACCCCCGTCCCCTGGGGATCGGCCTCCGGAGGCGCCTCCGCGCTTCCCGGAGGCGGCGGAGGCGCCTTGGAGCGGATCACCAGCACCGGGAAGCGGCACTTGCCGACCTGCAGCGTCTCCCGGTAGAAAGCGGGCACGGCGCCTCCGTCCACCTCTTCCCACTGCAGCCTGCCCGGGCCGCCCAGCGGCGTGTCGCTCTGGAAGTTGTAGTCCCAGCGCTTCTGGCCGTCCTCGCACATCTCCCGCAGCTTGCTCTTCAGGTCCCGGTTCAGCTCGTCGTGATCCACGGGGCCAAAGAGGTTCCTGCACACCCCGGTGCGAGCGTGCAGCGGGAAAGTCCGCCGAGCCGCCAGGCGCTCCAGAGCCGAGGCGCTCGAGAGGTGCACGTTGGACATGATGGTGGCGGCGCCTAGTAGTAGTAGTAGTAATAGTAGTAGTAAGAGGGAGCGGGCAGGTTCCTTCCTTCTCCGCCCGACGAGGCAGCGGGTCCGATCGCCTTGGCAAATCCAAATCACAACCCCGGAGAGCAGGGCTGGGCTTTCGCCGCCTCCCTTCGCTGGGGGCCCGGAATAACCTGCGCGCGCCCCGATCCCCTCCGCCTTAACCTGCCCACCTTCCGCGCCTCGCTCCGCTTCTAGCAAGCCTGCCTGGGGCTGCCTCGCTTTTTAAAGCTCTCACCGAGTGAGTTCGAGCAAAACATCGATTAACATAATACTATTTCTCTGCAATAACACTCTTGCCATTGGTAGACGCTCCATTCTACCCAGGGCGTCGGACCGCCTCCCCAGGCTCCTTATTGGGTGAAAGGCGAAGTGTGGCAAGGCGCCAAAACTGTCCTTCTCTTTGCCATTGGATAGTGTGGCTTGTCCGTCACGGTTGTGTTTAGAAAATTGAGGGGGGGGGAGTTAGAGAGGGAGAGGAGAGAAGGCGGTGGCGAGTATCATGCGATTTAAAGAGATGGTTGAGTAACATGACACCCAGCCCACGGCTCAGCTCCCTTTGTTTGCAGTTGGCGACGGCTGCTTCTCTGCGAGTACTTTTTTGTTTTGTTATTGTCATTGCGCTATTTTTTTAACACGAGAACTAGTGGAAGCACAGAATTACTGGAGGATTGGGTGGGTTTTAGATTTCTGTTTGTGTTTGCAAGATTGAACAACTTTTCTACCCAGCATCTGAAAGTAAAAAATTCAAACGGCTTTGTGTAGAACACAAAGGTTATATGTACAGTGGGGCTCCAAACGTTAACCGACTTTCAAGGAGTTGACTGCAAAAGGCAGCGAAGGGAACGGATTAATCCTAATATGTTTAGCATTCTTAGTAACAAGAGAGTCAATTGCTTGATAGGTTTTGAAACTGCATCTGGACTGGGACATGTAGGAAAATGAAAGCATTCTGTCTTTTTTCATTAAAAGAAAACCACTTAATCTAAGCTTGCTGTCTTAACTACACTGAATTGCCAAAGATTAACTGACTTGTGCGTAATACATCTTTGCAGGTCATTGCAAATGTTGCCATCTGTGGTTACTGGAGTGGGAGTTGAGTTGCCGAACTCTACATCTGCAACCAAGTGTCTGAGGCATCCTGATGGGAGTTCGTACAGGACTTCCAGCTTTACCAGAGTGAGGATTCCCCCCCCCCCTTTGATGCTCCACCCCAACAAAAGAAAAAGAGTGAGCAAGCAGAAGAGTACCCTATTCTCAGTTGTTTGGGGTTTTTTGATCTTGGCAGCTTTCACCAATCTGGTGCCTTCCAGCTGTTTTGGACTACGGTTTCCTTCAGCCCAATCCAGGAGAGCCATGCTAGCTGGGGCTAATGAGGGCACCAGGTTGGCAAAAAAACACCTGGATTAAAAAAATACTGGACCCCGCAGTTCTCCATATCTGTTCTTTATCACAGGAGGAAGGTTTAGTTTATATTCCTTCTACCATTCTTCATCAGGTTGCCATCTAGTTGACTACTGTGAGAAGATGATGCTGGACTGCCTGATGCAGCAGATTCTTCTTACAGTGCTAGTATTTAAGGTGTTTTGGTGCTTTGTGCTTGAACATCCTGCATTTCAGGGCTTGTCTACACTTCTGCTTGTCCCGCGTTTAAAACGCATGAGTCCAAGTGGTTTTCCTCTTGCCCTGCTCCTTTCCCAGGGAAAACCTGCTCTTTAGTTTTGAATTGGAGCAAGCTACAGCCTAGAGAAAATCCAAATTGCCATTTGCTCTGATTGAGCACTAAAGAGCGGTTTGGGAGCAGCATGCAAGAGGTATTAAAGTCTTTTAAAGAAAGACTCCCATTCTACAGTGGTGCCCCGCAAGACGAAATTAATTCGTTCCGCAAGTTTTGTCGTCTAGCGAATTTTTCGTCTTGCGAATTATTATTTAGACAAAGGAAACAAAGTCGCGAGACGTTTTCGTCTTGCGAAGCAAGCCCATAGGGAAATTCGTCTTGCGAGTCAACTCGCAAATGGAAAAACCTTTCGTCTAGCGAGTTTTTTGTCTTGCGAGGCATTCGTCTTGCGAGGTACCACTGTAATTCATTTCCTTGAGTTGTGAGTGGACGAAACTTTTCCTCTTCGAGGGAATAGCAGGGGAGGAACAACACCTCCAATCTACTCATGATAAAAAAAATCACAAATATCTTTCAAGAAGTAGCAGAATGAATTTGATACAATAGTCAAAAGTAAAATTACTTGAGCTCACCGAAGGTGCTGCAATCCAGGGGAGTAGTATTGGCCTCTTAAATCAGGAGGACGTGAAGTAGCATTGGCGGGTGGGGGAATGTCATTACAGCCCCGGTTCCTGGGGGTTTTATCATTGAAATGAAACTTCCAAGAGGACCATATGGCGATTTGCAAGATGGCCTGCAGTCCAGAAAGATGCTGTTCAGTGAACAGTTCATAAAAAGGCTATCATGGTTCAGTGACACTGACAATACACCTCATTAGGCAAGACGTAAACCCCTGTTGGAAGGGTTTTTGATGGGGCAGAAAGAAGAAAAGGTCAGTCATCCAATCAGACCTCCAAGCGAAAACAGGTGATGAAATATTAATTCCTTTGATTTAACAACCTATCAGATCTAGTCCACAAAAGAGATGATGGGACCAAAGCCAATCCCGCTTTGGAGAGTAAATGATCATGGTATACACAGTTATCCTTTTAGCGATTGGTACCCTGCCAAAAGAAGGCAGAATTCAGTTTCTTTTCAAGCCTTGGTAATGATTAACCAATAAAGTATAAGCCCCACAGACTAAGCTTTGTTCACTTTAAAGTTTGTGTTGGTCCACTGTGAGCCTGCCTATCCTATAGATGTGTGTCCATGTATCCGGGAGCAGATAACACCCTGGGCAAGGCGAGTGGAGCCCATGAAGTCAACTGCGCTGCATGTCAGCTGCACTCCAAGTGAAACAGCTTGTTTGAATGTTTGGCATAGAGCTTGTGCTGAGATATTTGGCTCTGCAGATGGCTTAAACGGAAGGCACCTAGGTGAGTGGTCCCCATCTTGTCCCCACACATTCTGTAATCCCCACGGTTTGTGCCACACAGCCTCTTCTTTTGGTGCTGCTCTTAGGGTTGCCCACGTCAGGCTAGTGATGCAATTATTTAATGTTCTCTCCTGAACAAACAAAACTTTGAATTGGCTTTTATTGTAGCGATTGTTACTATCTAGAAAAGGCAACATGAATGCAGAGTGTTTGAATGCAGAAACATATATTGTACTTAGAAAGTATATGTTTCTTGATTGTGATGATTGTCCCAACCATTTACCCCAGGGGTAGCTAACCTTTTCTTGGCCTGAGGACCATATTCGTCCTTGGTCAACTCTCCAGGGGCTGCATAGCAGCATTAGGCATTGTCTCCCCATGCTCTCACACACTTAATCTCATGTGCATGCATACACAGCCCTCAGCTAATCCATACAGGTCAGCTGAGGAAGGAGCTATCACTGGCCTGCTTTCCATTCATTTGCAAAAAGCAATGACATTGAAGACCAATTCTGTGTAATGGAACCCAGCCACCACCTCTGCCACCGTCACTTATCCAGCTCTATAACCAGTGTTCCCCCCCGGGGGTACTCAAGGGAACCTTCCTCACCCCAAATTTTCAAAGTGTGGCACCTACTGTAACAACTTCATGGTGAGTACCGGCACCTTGTTTTCTGTTGAAAAAAGCAATGTCTGTAACAAAGTGCCTCTCGTTGTTGTTTGTTGTTGTTGTTTAGTCATTTAGTCATGTCCGACTCTTCGTGACCCCATGGACCAGAGCATGCCAGGCACTCCTGTCTTCCACTGCCTCCCGCAGTTTGGTCAAACTCATGCTGGTAGCTTTGAGAACACTGTCCAACCATCTTGTCCTCTGTCGTCCCCTTCTCCTTGTGCCCTCCATCTTTCCCAACACCAGGGTCTTTTCCAGGGAGTCTTCTCTTCTCATGAGGTGGCCAAGTATTGGAATCTCAGCTTCAGGATCTGTCCTTTCAGTGAGCACTCAGGGCAAACTAATCTGAGGCCTATTTTCTTGTACATCACACTCTGCCCGTCATTGCCTGTTGCCAAAACTATGTCCTGAGTTGCAAGCTAATTTTCCTGAACTTTGGTGGTTGTGAGTTAGCCATCCTAATGCTTTTTGGCTGTGGTGTCCTGAACCATACATGGCATCAGCACAGTGGCTCCTGACAGGCTTGGGTCATCATTCCTGGCTAATTTTTCTGATTCTTTAACTAGTATTAAGCCAGAATTCCCTGTTTTGAATGTACTGGGGAAACACTGACTGAACCCAAGAAAGAATCTTCATTGCCGAAGCTCATACACAATGCAAGGAGGGGAGTGTTTAGTCCCAATGCTTGTTCCTGGCTTCATAATCCTTGAGTTGTTGCTTGAACTTGACCATTGTGTGGGCTCGGCCATTGTTGTGCAGTACTGTAAATATTCACTTCCCAACACAGTCATTCATAGAACCAAGTGACAGGATTTTGCCACAATTGGTTTCCTGATAGGGAATGAAACAAGGTTAATGTTAATGAGTTTCATTAAGCCATTAGCCTCACATAAAGTTGACAGTAGCATTAGGCTTAATATTGATTTCCAAGAATACTGATGTTTCAGGTTCTCTCTGAAGACTCAATAGCGGTGGCAAAATGAAAATATGTGTTACTGACTCTTCTGTGCTCGCTTGATGTTACTCCATGCAAACATGGAAATATTCATGTGGCAGAAGCATCTGAGGTCCTGTACTTAGTTTCCCAACTGAGCTCAGTGGAAAAGTTTCAGTCTTCTTAGCACAGGGGTAGCTGTCCTAGTCTGGCAGGTGTAGGCCATGGTTAGGACACAAGCCTACAGTGTACAAGACCTCACACAAAAGATTGCCAGACAATGGTAGGGCAAGACAGGCATGCCAAAGACAAAACCAGGGTTAGGCACAAGGAACCAGACTGAAGCCAAATTCACAGCAAATATTAAAACTCTATTATACCACTTCAAACGTGTCATGACTTCCCCAAAAGACTCTGGGAGCTGTAGTTATGAAGGGTGCTGACAGTGGTTGGAGCCTCGTTCCCCTCCACATAAATTGGATTCTCAGAGTTCCCTGTTGAGAGCGTTGATTGTTAAGCCACTCTGGAAAGTTTTAGCTTTCTGCAATAAGTTTATTGTGTTATATTCTGCCTTACACCTTAAAGTTGCAAGGTGACCCAAATACATCTGCAATTTTTGCGTGAGAAAAAAAGGGCATTCTAAAACAGGTAAAAAAGATGGTAATCTTAATAATTGACCAAAATGATATCTCTAGAGAACACAGATACATTAGATCTGGGAAAGTGTTAATAACAGATATGGGTGGCAGGCCTACCTGGCTACAACAAGGTGAAATTCACAGAGGATTAAAAAACTAACCATTATAGTAAGGACTGCTCTATACAAGGCGTGGACCAGCCATCAACAATTATTAGAACCAAAAACGCCATGGTGGCTGTCCCCGCTAGAGGCATTTGCAGTAAAAAAATTAAATATGGAAAGTAATTGGGCAAATTATAGTCAATTATTAAAAGAAGATCAGGAACAACTGAAGCTCAAAACATTTGAGGAGATAAGACATTACCTCACCGACTGGCTTCAATATCATCAATTAAATAATGTATTTAATTCAGACAAAAAAACAGAGTTTTGGAGAGAAGAATCTAAATTACGAAAAGTATTATTAAAAAATAATAATATATTAATATTCAAAACTTATGACCTTTTATTGAAATGCGATCTAAAAGATGAGGAACTAAAAGAAGGTATGGTCAAATGGGCACAAGATATCGGCCACACAGTATATATGGAACAGTGGAAAAGGCTTTGGAGGTCGGACATCAGCTTTACTGCCTGTTACACTGTTAAAGAGAATATAGTGAAAATGTTCTATAGGTGGTATAGGGGACAATGATGCATGTATGATGATGAAGAAGAAGAGTTTGGATTTGATATTTCGCTTTATCACTACTCGAAGGAGTCTCAAAGCGGCTAACATTCTCCTTTCCCTTCCTCCCCCACAACAAACACTCTGTGAGGTGAGTGGGGCTAAGAGACTTCAGAGAAGTGTGACTGGCCCAAGGTCACCCAGCAGCTGCATGTGGAGGAGCAGGGAAGCGAACCCGGTTCACCAGATTACGAGTCTATCGCTCTTAACCACTACACCACACTGCAAAGACAAACCAGAGGCTGTGAGAAAATTAAAAAATTCTAGGGGTGTATTCATGAAGAGCTAAAAAAGATGTTTAAAACTTCTATTGAAAAGAAACCAGAGGCATATTTATTAGGTGTTTTGGGAAAAGACATCCCACAGGATAAGAAAAGGCTATTTTTATATGCCACAGCCATAGCCAGATTATTACTTGCTAAAAATGGGAAGGGAGTTGTTATCCCAACAAAAGATGAATGGATAAGTAAACTATGTGAATTTATAAAACTGGCGAAGTTAACAGCAGCCATAAGACATCAGACAAATCAGAAATTAAGGAAGGAATGGCAATGCTTTGGGACTATGAAAAAATACTGTTCTAAGGATAATATGTTGATATGCATAGACTAAGTTTGTAAAGTAGATAATCAGACGTAATAGATAAATAAGGAATAGTATTTAAAAGACGCAAAGTTAATAAGATTAATAACTAGACAGAATGTCCAGTGGTGGTGAAGGGAAGTCACATGCGGGCATATTAGATGGTATTGGTTTTCATTTATGTACAGTGTAAGTATCTTTTTCTTTCTTTTTTGTATGTCTATTTTTGGGTATGTCTTTTCGTTCTCTGTATGTCTGTTTTTTGAATATATATATTTTTTAAAAATGACAGTGAGCATAAAAAAGAACTGCCTTGTACAATCCAAATGGAATTTGTATGTCAACAATGAAGTCTAAATTGTCCGCAGTTAGTGCAGAATGCTGCAGTATAACTGCTGACAGGATGGAGACCTTATTGGCATGTAACACTTGTGCCCTGGTGGCCAAGTTCAATGTGTTACTAATAATATATAAAGCCCTTAACAACTTGGGACCAGTGTATCTGTGTGATCACCTTAATAAATTTTATTTATTTATTTATACATACATACATACATACATACATACATACATACCCCACCCTTCCTGGTTCAGAAAACCGGGCTCAGGGCGGCTAACAGCAAATTTTAAACACTTAATTGATGCAACAAAAAACAGCATAAAATACAATATAAAACATGGATAACAATAAATTCAGAATTCAAAAATCAATTTAGAGGAAAATCCATCCAATAAACATTAGATGATCACCAGGGCTAGCTGGCTAAATTAGTCCTATTTGGGCCAGCGAGGAGACCAGGGGAGAATTAGCTGTGGGATCCCAGAGTGGGTAATCTTCATAAAAAAGGGGGGGGGGAGAAGGGGAATTAAAGATCAGGCTAAGTTCAGATTGAAAGCCAGACGGAATAGCTCTGTCTTACAGGCCCTGCGGAAGGAAGTTAAATCCTGCAGGGCCCTGGTCTCATGGGACAGAGCATTCCTCCAGGTCAGAGCCAGCACTGATATAGGCCCACTTGACCACTTTGCTCTGTGGACTGGCACTGTTCCAAGTGCCACATAATACCCATTCCATATTTGTAATAAATTGACATTCTACTCTAGCAGCACCCACACTTTGGGTGTGAGGCAGGCACTGTACTCTTGAATGTGCTGGTTTGTCGTGTCTGGAGGCTGAAAGCCAGCAAGGGAAGGCAGGCAGGCAGGCAGGCAGTGAGGAGATTCTGGTGGCAGCATGGCCTTGAGCTGAGTGGTTAAGACTGCACTTATGAAGCTTGTAACGCCCCACTCCTGGGATTAATGTGTGCGTGATCAGACAGATCGGCAGGCCTCCTCCTCCCATACATATATCCAGTCCTTTCTCCTTGCTAGCACTATTATTTCTGCTCTCAACGTCACTAGTGCTGATGCTTGTGGTAACAGTTCAATTTAAAAACAAAACGAGAGAACTG